TCTTGTTTTGGAATCTCCCCAACATTATGGTTGGTGAGCACTAATGCAAAGAACTCATTTGGCTTCTCTACAATTGCCTTACCCTCCCTGAGTTCTCCTTTTATTTCCTGATTTTCCAGGAGCCTTGCTGAATCCCTGACAAGCTTCCTTTTTCCAGTGTACTCAAAACACTTTTGATATCTCCAGCAAGTTGCTCCTAATATATATGCTTGTGCATATGTGTATGTATGCATGTGTGTCTGTGTATATATATATTGGGCTTGCCTTATAGTTTTACATTTAGAGTGCAGAGTATATGCTCATTTCTATTTCCTTCAGGCATGACTTCCATTCTTGAATGACATATTTTTGCCTCTCCTAGCATCCTACATTGTACTATTTAACCATACTGGCCCTCTCTTTTTTTCTGGCCCCATTGCTACTCTTTTTATCTGTGGTATGCACTTAATTTGTGCCTTGAATAAGTTTTTCTTTTTTAATATCTCATGCTACTTGCAATATTTTAATTCTCTTGACTGTTGCTAATTGAAACTACTCATTATTATTGTGTTCTCTGCTTCTGCAGCCTCTCTAATCTCCCTTACCATTTCTTGCATACTGCCAAAATCCTGATCAGATTGATAATATAACCCCAGAAGTACACTCTTCTGAATTAAATGCTGAATTTCTACCCATGCAGATTTTCTGGTACCTCTTACCTTATTAGATTTAATGCTGTCTTTAACATAAAGTGCCAGTCCCCCATAGGCCCCAACTCCATGGGTACTCTGGGGCTCAAGCACCCACCAAAAAAATTAGCAGCGCTCAGTACCCACAGGCCATGGCCATTTTGGTGTTACACAATACATGTTAGATCTGTGTTATGTTAAAAACTTTGCCCTGAAAGCAAGCTTTTAAAAGCTGGTACCAGTAAGTGACAGAAGGACATTATGTGGGTGCACAGGAAGGTGGAATTAGACCAGTGCATGGAGATTCATGGTGAGGTAGTGAACATGAGTAGGCCAGAGGTTTTTGCCAGTGGGTGCTTTGGCCCTAGGCCAGAGGTAGGGCCAAAGCACCCACTGGCAAAAACCAAAAGTTAACGCCTATCCAATTCCTCACTCTGTATTACCTTTTCCATCATTCCTGTGTAGTTTGTACCCTGCAATTACAGTGTCGCATCGATATTCTTCATTCCTCCAGGTGTCAGAGATGCCTGTTAGGTCAACTGATATTGATAGAATACCAATAGATATAACAGGCATCTCTGAAAGCTATGCTTAAATAGAAGACTCTGTGTATTTTTTCTGATCCAGAGTTTTGGCATTTTATCATTATACTGTTTTAGATACTGTGCACAAAAACCTTTAAATGTAATTACAACTAGTATAGACAGCAGCAGATAGACCATTAGTCATGGACCTAGAGGTTGACCCTACGTATACACTGACTTTGATTGCTATGGTCCTCTTGGTGGCGAGAAGGTCAGCCTATAATAAGAATAATACAATAGTCACTAATTCCTTCAAGATAGTATCCTTTTTAATGTTTTCAAATTATTTCTGTATCTGTATAATGCCCCACAGAACTTAATTACTGAATTTAATTACTAAACTTAATTATATAACAGAAATATGTCCCCTACTTACCTATGGCTGCCAAATATTTACCTGCATGCATGAATGTGTCCCGTAAAACTGTTGAGGTGCCAACCCTGATACAAGTAAATTGAACTGCCAGTTCCAATGCTGCCAAGAGTCTGCAGCAGCTCCTTTTGCAACACCTCTTATCAATCATTAGCAGAAAGGGCACCTTAAGGAAGGGAGACTCGGGTCAGCTCTACAGAGTGTGAGACCTGCAGGCAAGTTAATAACAAAGCTTCTATGACAGAAATACCTGAACTATAAACAGGTTAAGGGCCAGTTTTTCCCTGATGGAACAAAACAGAGCTGTAGGAGGGAATCATTTGGCCGCAAAACCATCCTTTAAAAAATAGAAAGGTTGCAGAATGGAACAGAATATCAATGACAGGAAGAAAATGAACATATAAGAAGGAAAGGGAACATCACGATTAAAGAAAAGAGAAATAAAAGGAAGGAAAGCCCACAGAAAGGAGGGGCATAACATGACTATGGATGAAGCCTGCCATAGAAAGAAAGGATATACAAGAAAAAACAGGAAGAGAAAATACACGTATATATTCTGAAGTACACATTTTGTATGATTGCAAATACTTCTGCAAACCTCTTCTATTTTAGCAGTAAGAAAAAGGTGGGGTATCTTTTGACTGACTAGTTTTTGTTCTGTTTTATTTTGCCTGTGAAAAGCACAAAGATTAAAATAACACTCCAACTTAATGGAATTCATTAAACAAAAAAAAATTCCCACCTGAATTAAAGTCATGTTGTTTGATGTTGAGTCAGTTTTTATGCTATTTTCCTTCTTATTAGCTTGGAAGCTGTGGGTGTCCTTTACCTGAATCAGTACCTGTGTGCTATTTGCACACAATATCTCTTTTCAAAGGACAAAAGTAGCTGCTACCTATAAAGCCTTGCTGTTTAGGGCCTTGTTACACATTGTACTTTGAGCTGTTCAAATGTTGATGGGTGCTAGTGCTAGCGTGAGTTTGGAGCAGTCAAACCTTGAGGGTAAAAACCTTCTCTGACTGTCCTCCACCTGCACAGCTGTGACTTGCCACTAGAAGTCTGATGAGCAGGGGCCTGACTAGGAGCAGCTGTGATTTGATCCACCCAGCTGGTAAGCCAGGACAGGCTCCTACCCTGCTGTAGGTTGGGGATGTGTGAGAAATGGGTTGGGGGCACAGGAACATGAAGCTGGGAGCTGGAGAGTTACAAGGGTGGGGGAGGTAATGACATGGGAGTGAGAGAAAGGTAGCAAAATGAAGGAAGACAGCCACTGAAGGATAAAATTAAAGTTAAAAAAATATGAAAAGAAATAAAGAGGAAGTAAATTAAAGAAAGTCTTGTTTTTAAATAAATTGTTTTTTGGGGATTGGGGGAGGTACTTGTCATGCTTCCTATGGGGGCTGGGAGGTGGGAGTGGTGAGGGAAGCTGCTTTTGGGGGAGTTACTGCCCCTTGCCCTGGGAAGGAAGCTCCAGCTCATGGGGCATCTGTACACATGCTGCAGGGTGGAGGGGCAGGCACTTTAATTAGTGTGGCCTCAAGAGCCAGTCTAATTAAAGTGCCTGTAACATCACATGTATTCAGTGTCACACACCTCAAAATAGTGGCAGGGGTCCTTGAACTGAAGTTCGTTTGACAAGCTTTAGTTCAAGCACCCCACCACCATTTTGAAGTGTGGGGACATCAAATAGGTGTAACATGGGCACTGCTGGGGTACACTAATTAACATTCTCCAGCAGACTTGATTAATTGAGA